GGGGAAGCGGGGGGGTTTGGGGCAAGGGGCATTGTGGGGGACCTCGCTGTGTGGCCCTGGGGTCAGCGCCTGCCGGGCTGTCAGGGCGAGGCCTCCCCTCCTGCCTGTGCCTGAGCAGCAGAGGGCAGGGACATGGGAGGACATAGTTCAGTCTGGGGGGAAAACCCCCCAGCCAGCCCTCCTCTGCGAGTAGAACAGGATCCAACGTGCCTTTGAGCTCGGTGCCCCGAGAGTGCAGCTTCTGCAGGAGGACGTGGTTCAGGGAGAGGTTGGGAGTGTAAGGATGGGGAACGGGGTCTCTGCTTGGGGTTGCTCCCTTTGTCGGTGTGGGAAGGGAAGTCTTGGGGCTGAAACTGTGTGAAAAACCTGTCAAGAAATCTGCCAGGCAACGTGTTCTTGTAGAGATCTCCCAGTAACCCTGATGTTCACTATTTCACCGTTGAATCGTTGTACCAGTACAGAGGTAGTGTTGTGTACAAGAAGTCTTTCTCCCAGGAAGCAAATTATTTCTGTTCCCCTCTAGTGAGGAACTACGTGACAAGCTTTCAAGTGAGTGGCAGGAAGGGACAAGCAGCCTATTTTGGTGACAGGACTAGAAGAAAAAGTCACCAGGGTTATTTCTTTCAAATCTGGTGTTAACTTTTTAGATGTACCGAACCCCCAGGACGTGGCTGCACAGTCTGAAAATCCCCTGTTCCCAGCTGAAGCGAGTGGAAATTTTCAGTAGAAAAACTGCAGAGCTGTGCAAGGCCTTTCCTTCCTCTGGCTCCCTCTGCTTGGAGAAGGCAGGAGCTTTGCCTCTGGCTGCTGAAGGATGTTCTTTTTCAAAACTGAGGTTGGAATTGGTCTCTGTCCTCTTATCTGCACCTCACTGGAGAAGGTGGACGCTGCTCCTCAGTAATGAGGTGGCAGTGCTGACAGGAGTGTTCATCAAAGCAATGTTACCTATTTTTACTGGTAAAAAGAATCTGTTGGGTTTTTTCTTTTTTTTTAAGATGCCAGAGCCTGGTTTGGATTACTGCTTTTTTTTTTTTTCTTTAATCCTGTGCTGACTGAGGGTCTTACTGTATAAAAGTTGTCAAATTCTGTCATTTCTCTGTGTCTGTTGTTACAGAGCTTGGCACCAGAACCAGCAACTTCTGCCATGGACAGGGCCGTCAGGATGAGGAAGGAGATGGAAGCCCGGAAAGGGCTCTTGGCCTGGGCACTCCTTAACGTGTCTCTCGCAGGCATGCTATATACTGAAATGTGCGTTAATTGTCACACCTGAGTCAAACAAGCAGAGCCGCCTCCTTGGTATCTCCCTAAATATTTCCTGGGACTGAGTAGTTGCAAAATGTTAACTGCTTTTTTTTCTCTTCAGGACTGGAAGTCTCATCAGCTTGTATTACAACATCGCGTGCTGGCCACTCTGGTATCTTGGTGAGTTGCTGCACCATTTAAATTTGATTGCTGGAGAGTAGTCTTTAAACAAGCTCTTTTTTTTCAAAAAAAAAAAAAAAAAAAGGTGTTTTTGTGTTTGTTTTAAATTTAAACCAAAGCTTTGGTTTGCTTTCTGCTGTTTCCCTTGAAACTTGGAATTTCATCCGTGTTAGTGATGGGCATGGAGTGTTAACAGATTTCTTAGATAGGAAGAACTTACTTGGTGCATTAAATCTGTTGACCATGTAGAGGAAGGCTTTGGGGAACACGGCAGATTTTCCAGCTCTGTTGTACGTGGGCGTGGATGGCATTTCACAAGAATTTAAGTTTGTTTTGGAGGAGCAGACTCTAAGCCAGCTGTATCAAATACGATTAGAGGATAAAGCAAGAGGAGGAGAAAAATCATGAGATGACTGACAGGTGATTTGGCAGAAGATGTTTTTTGAGAAATACTCTGAAACTTCATTGTAGTAGATTTGGAAATGACTGTCCGTCTTTAAAAATTCCATTTTAGTAGTGTCAGTTAATCTCAATACAGAAAGGGAAACTATCTCCAATGGTTCTGGCATAAAAAAGTGAAGAAATCTTTGCTATTGCCCAGATTGGTACATACTGACAGCACTAATAATTAGACCTGTTTTTCATGGGCATATGACAGATTTTGCAAACAAGACACTTTGGTTATGCCTCGTGCTCAAGCTACAGTAAAAACTTCTCTGTTTCTTGTAGAACTCGCACTTGCATCTCTGTTCAGCCTGAACGCCGCCTTTGATTTCCGGGTGTGCTTCAAATACACGGTGGCACCGACCAGCCTGGTCGTGAGTCCTCGCCAGCAGAGCCTGCTGGGGTTGCAGAATGCAGGTGGGTGCAGTCAATATCTCTGGCAATTTTTTGTTTATTCTTTTTTTTGTTTCAAGATGGTGTCTCTCTCAAGGGCAGGATTCTCTAGCGCAGCGAGTTCTGAATCGCCTCCTCTGACAGGAGCGGTAAACTGAAGTACCCGCAGCGTATTAAAATTCACCACGTTAGGTGATGATTTGATGAGTGTTTGTGGGAGAACTGGAGGGGAAACAAACACAGACGGTGGAAAAGAGCAAGATGAGAGCAGCTGCTGAAGGACAGGGAGGGGCTTGAACACCGTGAGGTTGGGCAAGGAGTTTGTGACTTGTCCGTGGAAGCAGGAGCCAGGCAGAGAGCGCAGGTTCATATTTAATTTTGATGTCCTGCTACTGTCACGCTGGGTAGGGAGAACCAAAGGAGAGGGACAGAGACCTTTGTGTGAAGTCTGAAATGAGCCTACAGAGGGGTTACTCAAAGCTTTTGGAGATCAAAGCAAAGTTCTAAAAAGAACCTGACAAGGCAGAAATACCAAAAATGAAATGCTGCCACGGTAGTATTGCACTTTGCTCATCTGCCCTAGAAAACGGGGAGCAGAGGGTTGTAACGCTGTAACACCAAGGTTCGAGCATCTCCTGTGTTTATTTGCACAGATCAGTTGAGACATTCAACGCCTCAAGGTGCACAGAGTAGGCAGGTAGAGGAGCTGATGAAATAGGCGATGGAATAGAGAAACCTCTGGGTTACACAAGGTGCCTGGGAACACTGAACCGAAATCTGAAGCTGTGGGATTCGTGCTGAGTTGTGGTCCTGTGTCTCAGTCTTCTCTTTTTTTCTGTCAGTGGCTTGACTGCCAAGTTCTGTGGGGGCCAGATTTTTCTCACGTCCCTTCTAGCATCTTTTTTAAATCACCTTAATATAGCGTTGTGTGCGCATCTAAAGCGAGGAGGAGAGTTTGGGGCTGCTGCATCCGCAATGCTCATTCTGTTTTTCCTTCCCGCAGTGGTACAAACTCCCCCACGTGAGCTGGCGGCCCCTTCTCCTCTGCCCCGGGGCCAGAGTGCGCTGAGTTACAGCCCGTCCCGCCGCCCTGCGCCCACCCACAATTTGGCACCGGTTGTGTCCCGGGGTACAGCCCCCAAGGATGGGCTCTGTCAAGCGGCAGCTCCAGTCAGGTAAGGACCAGGGCAGCCCCCAAGGGTGCAGTTTGGGTCTTTGTTTGGTGCCCTGTCCTGCTGAAGGGGAGCAGTAGCCAGCGCAGAGTTGTCTATGTGTGTGTTTGCTCCTTTTGCAGAGCAGATCTAAATTTGTCGTATTGGGATTTGTCCTTCCCTAGTACCACTGCCTTCGGTTTAGAGCAGCTGGTTTCAGAACAAAGCCAAGCAATCAAAATGTAAGTGCAGAGGAGACCAAAAAGACCCAACCCAGACCCCAAAGGAGAGTCTTTTATGTTCATGTCGTTTAGAAATCAAGGTGGAATTCTGTCTTCCTTCTATGACACAACCGTTTGTTTTCCTTCGCCCAAGGTTTCCAGCCCCAGCTCCTCTCCCAGCAGGCCACCGTCCCCCACCAGCGCTGGGCCAGTGGAAAGCGGCGGGTTGAGGTCTCGTTGCGGCTCTTCCCCCGCTCTATGTAATTCTGCGGGTGCAGAGGAATATGTGACAGACCTCAGGGCACTGCACGCCTTCCTTCGGAGAGAGGAACAGAAGCAGCAGAATTCAACTCGGTAAGAAGCAAACTGATTTGATGGGAAAAGCTTGGTCAGGAGAAGGGGGTGCGTTTGTTGGAGATTGGCTTTTACGGATGAGAAAAGTCCCAAAGGATTCCAGTGCAGCCGCACTAGTAAATAGACCTGACTCGTTTGTGGTGATCGCCTGTGACCTGGGTAAAGGCGGCTGCTGACTAGTTGAGTCTCCTACTGAGGGGTTCGGACGTGAGGTGGGACACCGTCTTTTCTACCTGTCTCCGTGGCTTAGGACCTTCAGGACGTTTTCATCCAAAGTTTTGCTGGGGATGGGTTGGAAACGTGTGCTGAGAGATTGTCTCTGTGGCACCTGTTGGCCGTAGTGGCCCGTGATCAGCTGCCGGGCTGTGTCGCCGTGTGATGAGAGGGATCTCTGGTGGAGAAGGCATTTCAGATGCGGGGTGAATTACCTGCAGGCAGATTTTGTCCTGGATAGGGACAATCAGGGAGCAGTCGGTGTTTCTGCAGACCAACCTCGGTGTCCCTATTTGTGGCAGTTTGTGTCCGTGTGTCTGGCCAAAGCCTTCATATCCTGACCTGCTGTGCCTGTGCTGTTGCGTCGAGAACTTCTTAGTAATGACTGTACGTGTGTGTTTAATGAAGGAATCGTTTCAGGGTGTTTGGATTCCAGCTCTCCTTCCAGCAGCCCAGCTTTGGGGACCTGCAGCCGTTCCATCGCCGACTGCGTGCAGGTGCTGAGAAAGTTCCCGTACCAGCTGGCCTACAGGCCCCGGGCCCCATCACCACACAAGGACGTACCTGACCTGCGCTCGATACGGGCTGCGGAAGAGTTAAATTCCACGGCAAAAGCAGTCAGGAGAGAGAAACGGGCCTGTGAAGTACCCAGCTTTGGGCAGAGGTTTGGATTTGAGCTGCATCAGAAATGTGGGAGAGAGAAAGCCTCTAGCGCTGAGCTGTCCTCATCCAGCTTGGGAGGCTCCTGGTCACTGTAAATGGCCATTGCGAACTCTGAATTGTAGTGGGCAAAGGATTTCTCCCTTGGAGAGCAAGGCTCACACTGGGTACAATACATTTCTGATCTAAAACTGGAGCTGGAAGGGATTTGTGTTGAACCCCGTGGAACAGCTGAAGGAGATAAAGCATAAAGCCTTTACGCTGGCGTCTTCTGAAAGAAGTCTGATGCCAAGGAGCACCATTCCCTTGGCCTCAGTGACATGGAATCGGTTATTTCCTACGTTACCCTAATGAAACTGCCCATTCAGGTACCTCTTCCGTCAAGGCTGCAGTTCAGAGCAATTTTATCCTCATAGAGCAGAGAGCTTCAAAATGACTTTGGGCTCATGGCGGATGGTTGTAGCGTGACTGGAGAGCGAGCGCGTCCTCTGTGAAGCTGCAGTAGGAGTCCTGTGATCCAGCCAGCAGGTGCATAAGAATTTGGGGGAAAATGCAGTTGGAATGATGTAGTTAGTGTCAGAAACTGTCACAGACATAAACACTCTTGGTATTCTCGGAAGTTCTTACATGTAGTTAATGGCCCTTTCCATAGGTCTGGGCACGGGGGACGATGAAGCGCCACCTCCTTGGTCACGTGGATTCCTGGACCGCGAAGGTCAGAAACGTTGGTCCCGTCTGGGGCCGAGACGTCCCGTCTCTGTGACAAGGTTTGGTTTTCCTTGCTGGAACCCAGATTGCTAAATTGGTGTTTCTGCAGTATTTCTAACTCACTCTCCCGGGCTCAAAGCGTGGAAAATTCCAACCCAAAGGCTGGGTTTGTTCTGACTGTCCTGAGCCGCGTAATAAAAGCAAAAGGAAAAACCTCGATCTTAGCAACAGCCCTTGCTGGAGCAGGGCAGAGTGAATTGCACACGGTGGCAAAATAGTTAGTCAAATGAGCTTTGGATTGTCCCTTCACTCACAGCATCTATCAGGTCTAAAGTTGTGCTTGTGTGGTTTTTGTGGGGGTTTTTTTGTTTGTTTTTTAATAAGAGTGGTGAAAAGCAAAGAGGAGTGTGAGATCCATGCCAGATTGCTGAGCCTTTGTTCCTAAACCCAGGGCCAGGACGCTTCAGTTCCCAACTCCTATCACGTACAAATCCCACGTGGAGTGTTTATCAGCTTCTGGATTTCCTCAGACAGATGTGAGAGGGAGTGTCCTCAGCGAAATACAAATTCCCTTTATGGTGGAGGGCTGTGCTTCATCGTACCCCTTCCCTCACGGTTCAGAAAAGCTTCAGAAAGAAAAGCTTCATCTGGTATTTTCTAGAGATGTGTTTTCCCAACTCCTTTATTTGAATTTTCTGGTCTTTTAGACCTCTAGTCTTTTAGACCTTTTAGTCCATTTCTATACTGAATTTTCTGGTCTCTTAGAAAGTATTAGAGAGTCACTGAAACTCCACCTGACTTGATACTCTAATTGAATTCCTTTTCTCCTTGCCTGGCTTTAGTATTTCTGTTGTTAAGCTCCTTTGTGACTGTAACAGTGATGCTGGAGGTGAGGGAGGAGGCCTCCAAATTGAGGGGGTCAGGGTTGCAGGAGCACCTCTGAGGAGCTCGGGAGCAGGCAGCTGCCCTGTGTCAGGCCTCAAGCAAGCGGGGCAGAAGGGGCTTGGCTGAGCAGGGACCTGCTCGCTGAGCTGCAGAGGAAAAGGAATTGCACCGTCTCTGGGAGCAAGGTCAGGCTTGGCAGGAAGGGGCAGAGCCGTGGCTCGCACACGCAGGGAGGAGAGAGGAGAGGCCAAAGCTGGGTTAGAGTTGGGAGCGGCCAGTGACGTGTCTGACAACAAGAAGGGATTTTTAAGTAGGATTGTAGCCAGAGGAGCTCTGAAGAAAACATCTGATTTGCACTTGTTGAGGATGGTCACCTGACAGAGAGGTGTCGGGGAGACATCGGCCTGTCAGCCCTCCACAGCCCCTGAGCAGCAGCAAGGCTTTGATGAGAAACAGACCTTGGGAGAGAGATCAGAAACTGCTGAGTTGTGCTGAGGTGTCAGGGAAAAACAAGGGACAGCTGCAACCCCGAGCTGTGGGACAGTCCTGAGCTGTGAGAAGTTACCGCCGCGTGAACAGCGCCTGAGCGAGCAGGGGATTGGCCTGCACAGCGCCTGAGAGTGGTCTGGTGCCCGTAGGAGAGAAGGCTGAGAGCTGTCTAATTGCTGATGTGCTAATTGTGAAGTAAGAGCTTTGGCGAGAGCATAAGCAGGTACTATTGTAAGGATAAAGGTCTTTCCTTCTGCACTTCAGCGGAGCTCCGTGCCCCAGTTGCCACACGTGGGAGGTTTGACTGAGCAGGGCCGGCCTGCTTGGCAGATCCTCTGGGACTGACGGGCCAGGTGGCTTTTGCTAAATGCACGTCCCAGGGTTTGCAAGTTCCACCCCGCAGTGCTCTCAGGGCAGTTTCAGCAGCCATTGTACCGCTCCATTTCCCAGAGGCTGGCGCAGGACTGGGGATGTGATGCACCCCCTCAGGGCTGTGTTTTTTGGCCCAAGTGTCTGTGAGGCCCTTTTGGAAATGAGTCCCATTGTCTGATTCGATCCTTTCTGGGATGCCGTGTCACCACAAGACTTGCTTCTCAAGGCCTCAAATATTGTTCCAGGCAGGGGCATGAGGCACGGCATAAGTTTCCAACCAACCAGTGGCTGCTTCCACCATTGTGAGCACACGGGGTTTGTCGTGCCGAGTTTGTGGGAACGTGATATAATCAGTGTGCCAGGCCTCCCCACATTTATATTTTAACCATGGTCCCCCGTACCAAAGGGGCTTTAACCGTTTGGTTCCTTGATGGCAGCACATGTCTCACATTCACGGACCACCTGTGCAGTAACATCCAGGGTTAAGTCCACCCCTCGGTCACTTGCCCATCTCTGTGTTCCATCTCTGCCCTGATGGCCTGAGGAGTCAAGGGCCCAGCGAGCCAGAAATTGGTCACCCTTATGCTGCCAGTCCAGATCCACTCGAGCCACTGTGATCTCAATCCACCTGTTGGTTGTTCTGATGTTACTCACTGGCCCGGCTCTCGGGTATGTGAGCACCTACACGCCATACTTTCACAGCCAGGTTCTCTACCCCAGCAGCAGTACCTCGCCCTCACTCAGCAGCCCAGACGGGTTTGCCTCTGCGCTGCCCGTGGCTCTGTTCCCGCTGCTGTAATCGCCCCCACAGCACACTTGCCCCC